AGCTGTTGCCAACCACCTTGGGAATCGACATCTCCTTCCGCCGGACTACCTCCCACGCCAAGCACGTGAAGTGTGTTTGTGTCGCTGATCGGGTTTTCAGTGCAAAAGGGCCTTTGGCTTCAGTAAATGAAGCGGATTCATCTGTCTCTCATATTACCGTTCATAACCTAATATTTCAACTGCGTGAAATCAGCCACAGCCGCATTGAATCGCAAGCGGAAGTTATTAAAAGCTGGTTTAAAGTGAGTTGTGAGTAAAAGTGTAGCCAGATAGCGAGCAGGTGTTGATTCCCGTCTGTTTGTTTGTAAAGGTCTTTTTGAGAAAGTGTGCATATATTGCTATGATTACGGTAATTTCAGAGCGCTTTACATTTATTTGCCCAATATTGGGATATAATACGATATGTTTCCAGATTTTTGTACTTCTGCTTTATTACCCATGTTGTGTCATTTACCTTTTTTTTTTTTTTTTTTTTTTTACTTTCATAATTTTTGTTTTTTTTTTTTTTTTTTTTTTTTTTTTTTTTGAATAATGGTGTTCTGTGTATTTCTTTAAAGATAACCTCTTCTATCACTGTAGATCTTACAGCAGCATTCGTAAAAAGACCAAATAAAAAAAGTAAATGGTGTTTCTAAATATCGGAGTTGCTTTTTCATTAGTTTTTATCAGTGCTGTGTTGAATCAGCATTCAGTGTTTGGTTATTAAGGTGGAAAATAAAGCATCCATGAGGTGGACTCATCAACAGTTGGTCGGAATTGTGCTGTTTCCACTCGTCTGGAGGAACCGGAGTGACTGCGACCGAGTCTAAGCTTTTTGCACATTTGTTGCACTGTCCCGTTAGAGTTGTAGCTGTTTAGCCACTCTTTCCCTAACGACTGGTTGAAGACCTAATCTTTTCAATAAGGTTGTGCCACTGATCATCCTTATTCTTCAGTTTTCATTCATGTTCTGTTTTCTGAAGTCGAGAAAATAACAGCGCTTGGTATTTTAATGTGACATGATATAAGAATATCCATAGAGGATATATATAATAGATATATAGCAGCAATACAGCTGCAGAACACGTGAGGCTATTTTATTAGATATGATCTTCACATGCATTTCGACTAAACATTTAAATAAAATCACTTTTCTGCCTATACCTGCAAAAGAAGTTACGTACAGCAATGTTGTAGTAAAAATATCGTTAATGGATGTTATACTGCATTAACTGATTAAAGTGAGAATAGATCACTTTAATTTTGAAAATATAATATCTAACTATTGTACAGTTTTTGCCTTTGACTGTTGTGTGAGTTTCATTCATGTTACAAATAGCTGCTTAAGACACAGAGTGCGTGTGTCTAATGTCAGATATACTGTATATTTAATCAATGCAGCGTCTTGAACAAGTGAAACACGCATTTAATCCAATAAAACCTTTAATAGCAGAACAAGAATGAGTTGTCTTGTCCCTAACATTTCTGTCGTGATGGTGTGAACTAATTGATATATTAATTGTTTATCTGCAGTGATTTCATCACTGAAGTGTGCATTTGTTGTCAGAGAATATTTAAGATATTCATATTAATCGTATTAATTTTTCAGGGATGACTGACTGAGGTCTTTATGCAGAACTGTTTCATTTTGTGGTTTAAGTTGATTATTTACACTTTTTTTAATTGAGACATTTACAGAGTCAAATTGTTTTAGCTAGGTTTTTTTTAAATGCCTTAACGGTTTTCATACTGAGAAATGTTTCACTTGTTCAGGCCTCTTATTAAATGTTTATTTTGAATATGATTAAGTACAAAAAAGGAAATGTGACGCATTCTCTATTCTATTCTATCTACTTGTTTTCTTTTTAATTGTTATAAAATAATAAGCTGACCCTCTAACACTAGCTTTATCTATTCATTCTCTTCTATATCTACTTTTTCTGTATATTTATTATATATATGAACCTTGCTACGTGTGCTGTGCTAGGCTAACCGTGACCTGTGTCACAGCACTTATGTACTGTTGCGGTTTTGTTGTTTTTACTGCTATTGCCTTCATTTGTAAGTCACTGGATAAAAGCGTCTGCTAAATGGTTACATGTAAATGTAAGTGCAGTGTATTTGACATTGAATACTGTACTCTGTGTCTTTAGCTGTTATTTGTAACAACATGAACATGAAGGAAATATGATCTCACAGCCTATACAGTCAAATCGGAAAGATTTTACAACACTTTACACATTTATGTAGGCTAATTAAAATAAAAAGTTATTTCATTTGTAATGTGCTGATGTTTTATATTAAGTTGAATCTGGAATGAGCAGGTTTTGCGATGCTCTGTAATGAGTGTTTTATTGCAGGTTTTTCAGCTGAAGGCATCAGATGTTGGTCTACAGCTGTGTGCATCTGTTCTGCTGCAGTCTCTCTGCTGACCGCTGACACGCTCTGTGGACAAGTCCTTCTGATCTGGCAAGTGTTTAAGTAGATGTTTTACCTCCTAACTCAAGCTGTGCTGCCTTGCCCTGTCTTATCTCAATTATTTTGCACAGTGATGTATAATTTACTCCGTAGTTCTTTATAACTAGCCTATATTTCTCTTTATGAGCCTGTTTCTCTTAATGAGTAACTAGCACGCTTTAATGCCAATTAAAACATTAGCTACCACAATGATCAGTGAGTATTTGTAACTCCTTTTTAAACAAAATTTGCCTCTAAATTATGCACTATATAAATTGAGGTGAAAGAGGTTCAGATGACTAAGTTTGGAAATTATATGCACATTATATGCATTATATGTAAATAAGAAATGTGAAAATTCAAATAAAAATGAGTGTCCATCGAAGGTGGATGTAATGTTGATCAAAGCTGAATTTTCAGCATCATTACTCCAGTCTTCAGTGTCATCAGAAATCGTTCTACTATGCTGATTAATATTAGTGTTGTAAACCGATGGGCTGCTTAATGTTTTTTTTTTTTTTAAACCTGTGATACTTTTTTTCAGAATTCTTTGAATAAAAAATTAAAAAGACCAGCATTTAGTCAAATATTTTTTTTCTATTATTAGTCCTATGCTAATGGCTACAGTTAACAATGCTTTAGCCAATGGTGTTGTTCCAGCCAGTTTTGAACATGCAATTGTGCCACTTCTGTTGGGAAATAAACTCATCAATCCAGCAGTGTGCAGAAACTACTGGCCGATCTCTAAATGGCCTTTTATTTCTAAGCTTTTGGAGAAAAGTGTAAACGTACCTAAGCTCACCAAAATCTACATTGAGACATTTTTTTAGTGCACAAGATATTGGTTTCAGTACAAGTTATGTTCAAAAAATATTGATCTCTCACACAAATATTTTTCAGGTTTTCCACGGGTCTTAAAAAAAAAAGTCTTAAATTGTACAAGAAAGTATTAATTATGATTTCAAGAGGTCTTAAATTTGGGGACGGAAAGGCCAGAATTGCGATATGGCTGAATGTGGTGATTAAACTTCAAAAGGCTATGATTTCATGAAATGAACACGAGCGCTGCAGGTTCAGAGTCCGGTGCTGTGCTGCTTTGTGTACAGCAGTTACCGGGGAAATGGTTATATTTCTATCAAATGCTCCACCTGCTGGCAGAGAATGAATGAGCATTGTCAATAAAACTGTTGTTTTGTTCAGAGTTCAGACCAATGCAAAAATCCACCCATGTTTTTACCCTGCAATCACGCAGAGCTTTAAATGTGAACTGGTGGATCGATAAGAAGACAATGCATTATAAAAATCTAAACAATAGGGGTGTGCGATATGTATGGTCTGCGACCCGGACAGCACACGTATGTCTGGCCGACGTCGGCCCAAGAGTGAAACGTCGGCCTCATTATCTAAAACATCGAATAAGCGTCGGCCAGGCATAGGCCGATATAATTCGGTCAGTGCTCTGTTTCTCAGCTCATCAAGCGTCGGCTCTGAGTGGCTCACGACCGGAGGCTTTTCTGTTTGCGTTAGCCCAGTTATTCGTCTCTTATATAGCAACCTACAGAGAGAAGAGACTCATCCCGCGACATCTGGGGCTTTCAGGTAAGATTTCACTTGAGCTAAATTAGAAAAAAAAAAACTTTTTGTTAATTCTGTGACACTTCAAAGGTAACGTTACTAGTAGGCACTCGGTGTGCTACAGCACAGGTGAAGAGACTGGGGCTCATTTCCAACTAACCTTAACTTGTTTAGCTAACGGTCACGATAACTCGGCGATTTTTAAAATTATTGTTAGCACCTTAATGTATTTCCAGCAATTTCTCGGAGGGAAAATGTTATTAAAGCGAAGTCCTAACTGCTTTTCCGCCATGTTTTTCACTGTTGTAGGCTAACGTTACCAGAAAGAATCCGTTTCTACGGTGAGCTATTGTTTCTGTTGCTTTTCAACTACAAAACTGAGTTTAAAATCATTATTGAATAAAAATTGTTTGAGACTGTAAATTATTAATGTAATGTTTTAACTCTAGATGTTTATTTGTGTAAATGCTGTGTGTGCGTTGAGCTCTGCGCGAGCTGGGAGCAGAGTTGCCATGGAAACGTCTCTCGCTGCTGTTTTCAAAATGAGAGCATCTACATCAAATCTCCACAACTGCATCAGCGAGTAAAAGATATTGTGAATTCCACTAAGCACCTTCAAAACAGATTTGGTAGCCTTTTAGGTAATAAGTTTTTCTTTATTGGACATTCTGCAGTATCAAAAGTATTACAATTATTATCATTATTATTTTTTTTTATTGTTTGTGCTGACAGGCACAGTGGGAAGCATGCATGAAACACCTACTGCCAAGCACCTACAGCAGTGAAATGCTTCAACATCTTTAATCATGACTCCTGGCCAACTGAGAAAGAGAAACTCTTGGACTACGGTGCAGAAGAGCTTGATTTTCTGCTAAAGCATTTCTCTCCTGTCCTAGAAAGGTAACTTCTATGGAGCTGAGCCAATCTCTTAAGAATAGCCTTGATCGGGTTGTGTTAGCCACAGTGTTAACTGTCTCTCATTTTATTTTTAGGAATGGATGTGAACAAGATCTAGCTAAAGAGGAGTTTCAGGCACTGAAAACAATGATCAATGATCACATCATGGATAAGAGCTACCTCGGACTGTGGGACATCATGTTGTCTAAGGAACCATACTGCTTACTGCTCAGTATTTACATTATTTTTTTTATAATAATCACGGTTATGCTGTTACTTAAAGCATTGTTCTCACAACCATCTAATCTGTCTTCTTCTTTAGAACATCCTTCAGTTAGTTCATATTATGTTGGTGCTCCCTGTGTCCTCCGCTGTGTGTGAGAGGGGCTTTTCAGCACAGAAGCGGGTCAATTCTGATGTGAGGTCATGTCTCAACCCAGACACAGTGGAGGACCTCATCAGAATAAGTATAGAAGGCCCAGAACTAGAAGACTTCGATGCCAGGGAAATTGTTAAGGAGTGGTTGTCAAAGGGAAAGAAGCCTAGAAGGCCAAATTACAAGTCCTGGCCAAATTAATTCTTCAGAGTTCAGGGAGACTTTCTGTAGTTATTATAGCTCATGAATGTGATGAAAGTCTGCGCTAAAGTAAAGCTGTTTACAAAAAAAAAAAAAGTTGCAATGAGTTACTTAAAATGAGTTTACAGACTTGCAATGAGTTTAACTGATTACAGTACGGTAAAGATATATTGAGAGTTTGCAAAATTGTATAAGATTTTTTTTTGTATATAAAGAAGAAAATTATCTGTATTTGTAATGAGATCATTAATGCATTAAACATGTTTGGACATAGTTTCAGTATTTCCTTTTTTTTTTTACCCCACCCCACGGCTGGTGCCACCAAATTAAGGCCCAGCGCCACCACTCTCAAATGTTAGTCTGGAGCCCTGTGTATATATATATATATATATATGTATGTATGTATGTATGTATGTATGTATA